GTCCCGAAAAATCGCTGGAGAAGTGTTTTGCGTACTGAGGCCTGCCTGAATCGCACGGCAGGTATAGGGCACTCACATCACACCACGGGATAGTCGGCGGTGTGGTCCCCCTGTCGTCGTCGTTGTCTTTCGGTAATGTGAGTGCTGTCAGCCAGGAGTCTTTCACCTTCTCATCGGATTCAGTCAGGCTCAGGTTACGGTATCAAAGTAATCTTATATTGCAATAAAGATTATGAGCTGTAGTCACAAACTATTAGACACCAAAAATAGGTCGAGTTAGTGTAAAAAAAACGTTAACTAGCCAGGAAATTCCCATGTATCGAGAAATCAATTTATATACAATGTTCTTTTTATAAAATAAGGGTGATGTATTGAGTTACATGTACTACGTACTAGAGAAGCTATTCCAAACAAAAAATGTGCACTACTCTGTGTCCGCGTATGCGCGGGAAACAGTAGAGACGCGCATGCGCAGTTGATATAAACGCGCGAAAATTATCATAATGAATAATTGTTTATTTAGATTGTATTGTTAATTAAGTACATTTTCTTTAATTTTCGTTTATTGTAAATATGTGCTAATTTAATATAAAATTATTATTAACTCCGCTCCGCACTGCATGAATATCGAAGCCACAATAACAGGTGTACGGATTGCAGTACAGTTCAGTTGAACATAGTGAGTGTTCAGAATGCCATATCTAGTGCGTAGTACATATATATCGATGAGGTGACGAGCGAGCACACAACCCAAGGGATGGTAGATGGATGCTGTGGCCCATAGACATCTACATCTATCCTCGATTAAAAATAAAAATGCAGATGCGTTGTCACCCCTGAGGACTGAGCAGAATGCTTCTTAATCCATTTCAGTGAAACGTTTATAGACTATATAAAGTTTAAATTACAGCTTATATAGTTACGTCCCACTGCTGAGCACCTGCTGGGCGCCTTGCTGCCGCAATGCAAATTAGCAAACTTCACGTGTGTTCTCAATATATATTTTTATTTTCTAGAAATGCAGTTTTCCTCGTGAAACATCGGCTTTCCGGGGCAGTTTTAAGTTTATGGCAACTAAGTGTTGGAATGATCTCCCACCACCTCTACGCACTATGACAAGTAAAAACAGTTTTAAAAAGAATTATAGACGTCACTTACTAAGTGAACAATTACTATCATAATCGTATTATTCTTACTAAATCACAGGGCCGTTTTATAAATAAAATAAATAAACATTGCCAGTATTGGCGGTAGTAGATTTATAAGCTCAAATAAGTTAGGCTCAGTAAAATAAATATTATTTAATACTTTGTTGTCATAACAACGTAACATATTACTATTAGTCGTATTGTTGCAATAATTATTAATAATATAAATTTTATGCAAAATTTATGATAATTATTATATATTTCTTAATTATTAATTTGAACTGGCTAATACTCGAAATACTCGTAATACTCGTAATACTTGCAATACTCAAAAAAAAAACACTCGCTAATACTTAGGAAAACACGACATGTACTCTAATATGAACAGTTGTTAAATGTAATTTAAGCAGGGATGCGCGCGTACTGTACTCTTCATTTGTTGGGCGCTGGCAGAATAACAGCGTTGCAGGCAACTGCAACATTTATGCTGAGCTAGAGCCCATTCATTACTACACTATGTAATTTTGGTTATTTCTGTGTATACTGCTCACTGTAACTATATTGGTGGTAATGAATAAATGTATTATTATTATTTATTTTTATCACATATATTATCACAAAACTATAATATTATAAATATAAATACAATCTATATAAATAATATTATTATTTCGGTTATTATCCACCGCGGCGAGGAATTCTAAGCCATCGGTGAAGTTAGGCATCCAAAGATAGGAACCTTCTTACTATTCGAGCCGTATTTAATAAGGCCGATTTTTGAATTAATGCCTTCAGCCATTTGCCCAAACCTAACTTGGACAGATAATCGTCCATATTTTTACCAATAAGCCCATTGACTGAAACAACTATTGGTACAATAATAGTAGAATCAACGTCCCACATAGCGACAATCTCATGAGCCAGGTCGATATATTTAATTTTTTTATCATTCTCTGCTTTTACGAGATTCTCGTCATGAGGAACACTGATATCCACTATTATTGCCTTGCGTGTAGTTCGGTCTATCACCACAATGTCAGGTTTATTTGCCACTATAAACCTGTCTGTGATAATTGACCGATCCCAGTACAGTGTGACACTTTTATTTTCAAGGACTGGCTTTGGTTTATACTTATAATATGGAACGTCCTGTTGAGTAAAACCAAATTTAATGGCAAGCTGTTGGTGTATTATTCTAGCTACTTGGTTATGTCTGTGCAAATACTCACCATTTGATAGTTGTGAATAACCGGAAATAACATGTCTGAGGGACTCTCCAGGGCGGTGACATGCGCCAACATACGTCAACTGTGCCGTCCCTCAGAATGTATCCCCGGTAGTTGTTCGTTTTAATTACTTCATCTTGTATTGCACAGATAAAACCTTCAGTTTCTGCAAAAAGGTCACCAAATTGTAACCAATGTACTGATGCAACCATGTCTACACAAGGATTAGTCAATGCTTTAAAAAATCGACCATGCGGTTGTTTGTCATTCCAAACCTTTTTGCGTTCATCCATAGTCATAGTATGAGGCCTCTGCCAGTCCTTTGCCGACATATTGAGCGGGGTTAATGATTTGTCATTAATCACTACGTCATTATGAATGTGTGATGTGTCTTTTTTTTTAAATAAAATAGTCTCTGAGGTTATATACTTCACGGTTGAAGTATACAACCTCAGAGAGAGAGACTATTTTTTTTATTGTTGTTTGGGGTATCTATATAGTTTTCTCATCTGGTTGGGTTATATAAATATATAATTATAAATTAAAATGAAACGATAAATATACATAAATATCAATAAAATAAAATAAATACAAAAATACATAAATAAATAAAAGCCCAACCAGATGGAAGCCCTCGGCAGGGAAGACCAAGCGGCCGAAGGTTAGGAGGAAAGGGAAAGAAACCGGCGGACGATGCGGGTTGACTGGGATTAGCCCATTCGCAGAGACGACTACAGGAATAATTTCGGCCGGCAGACCACCCCACATATCGGTCACCTCGTGAGCCAGGTCCAGATATTTTGTTCGTTTATCTGTTTCGGATTTCACGAGGTTCTCGTCATACGGAATGGTAATGTCGACCAAAATATCCTTGACTGTGCCCGGTCCATCAGCACAATATCAGGCTTATTCGCAAGAATAGTCCTGTCTGTGATGATGGCCCGGTCCCAGTAGAGCCTGGTGCGGTCATTTTCGAGCACGGCTTCCGGTAAGTACTTGTAATACGGCAATTTCCGGTCCACGAGACCGTATTTCAGAGCGAGCTCCTGGTGTAGAATTCTGGCTACTAGGTTGTGCCTGTGCAAGTACTCAGAGTTAGAAAGCGTCGAACAACCGGAGATGACATGCCTAAGTGACTCACCGGGATGGCGACAAGCTCGACAGACGTCGATGGTGCCATCCTTTAGGATGTATCTCCGATAGTTGTTGGTCTTAATAACCTGATCCTGTATTGCACAGACAAAACCCTCGGTTTCCCCAAAAAGGTCACCGAAACGTAGCCAGTTGAGGGAGGCGACTGTATCTATGTAGGGCTCATGTAGAACCCTGTAGTATCTCCCGTGGAGCTCCTTCTCCTTCCATACGGTCTCCCGGTCGGAAATGCTTTGTACTGCCGGGTCTTGCCATTGCTCGTTGGCTAAGGATAGAGGGGTAAGTCCTTTATCACTAGAAATGACGTCGTTATAGAATGGATCATCCGATCTCACCAGGAAGTAATTACGGAGGATGCACACTTCGCGATTATGCATGGTGAGCGCGCTCAGGAAGCCACGCCCACCATGCTTTCGCGGCAAGTACAGCCTCATTACCGACGATCTCGGATGATGCATCCTATGGGACGTCATGGTAGTGCGGACTTTTCTACCCAGGGCGTTAAGTTCGGTTTGAGTCCACCTGAGTATGCCAAAGGTATACATGAGGACAGGCATGACCCAGCCATTATATGAGTGTGCCTTATTCACACTGGACAAAAGGCTGTTAAGCACTTTGGTCAAGCGTGCATAAAACACGTCGCAAACTGACTGTTTCATACCAGCCTCATCGATACCGATGTTCTGTGATATACCCAGGTATCGGTATGGTTCAGCCTCGGAAAGGGTCCTTAAGTTGACGGGCATAGATAAGTCTATGCCCTCAGAGTTAGCAACCCTACCCCTCTCAACATGGAGGATCGCACACTTATCCGTCCCCAGCTCCATTCCAATAGAATTGCTAAATTCACAAGTGATGTTTAGCAATTCCATAAGATGGGAGCCACTGGTGGCGAATAATGAGAGGTCATCCATATAGAAAAGGTGGGTCACTTTTGTACCTCCTTTCCGAAGCTGATATCCCCTCCCGGAACCCTCCAATAAAGTACTGAGTGGGTTCTAAGAGAGGCAGAACGAGATTGGACTCAGACAGTCGCCCTGGAATATACCCCTTCTTATCCTTATGCGGCTTTCCGCAGCCGTCATCCGCTCGCCTAGATGACAGAGGATCGTACTCCACTGCCCCATACACTGCTCGAGGAAGTCTCGAACTGTACAGTCAATTTTGTATAGCTCGAGGACCCTCTTTAGCCATGTATGAGGCACCGAGTCAAATGCCTTTCTGTAGTCTATCCAGGCGGCGGAGAAGTTCCGACGGTTGCGTTTCACCACTTTGCCAATGTCCGCGTCAATGAGGAGTGGTTCCTTGGTTCCACAACCGCCGCCCCCGACATCCATTTTGAGCGCGCGACATCACCTGATTTGATTCCAGGTGACGAGTGATTCTCGCGCTCAAAATGGATGTTAGTGTCTTGTATATGGTCGGCAGACACGTGATGGGGCGGTATTTGCTCGGGTCTGTGGTAACCTGGTCTTTAGGAAAAATGCGTGATCCCAGTAGTGAAGAGGCTCGGGAGCGACTTCTGGTTGAAAGCCTCTTGGAACTGTCGGGCGAGCACAGTGTGACACACCACAAACCCCTTCAGCCAGTAGTGATGCAGCCCGTCGAGTCCCGGACTTTTCCAGTTCGGGGCCCTACGGACCGCCTCAGCTACGTCATCCGGCGTTATAATGACGGGGTCCATGGGCGTTATACTCACACACTGACTCGCCACAACTTCCGTCCAAGGGCCCTCGCTGTGGTTTATGGGCTCTGACCACAGGCCGCGCCAGAATGCTACAGTGTCGGCCTGATTCGGTGCTGGGCCCGTTCCACTTAACATTGGTCGCTCCAACGATTTATAGAGCCTCTTCTGATCACTCTGGAAGAGACGATTCTGGTGAAACCGTGTCGACCTCTCGGTATATCGCCGCATCCGCTTTCTCCAAGCAGCGATTCTCTTATTCAGGTCGTCTATGTGTTCCGTCAGTTTTTGCATTATATCCGGCTGGGACAAACTAACATTTGTCCCAGCAAATGCCATCCTGACGGTGCGCACAATCTTTGGCCTGTTGTTGATTGACCTGAAGCATATCAGTCTGCCGATGAGGGCCCTAGCCTTTGCGATACGTTCTTCAATTCTTATTCTCCAGGCTGGGATAGCGCTACTTTGTCCAGTAGCGCGTCCAGCCGTGAAAAGTTTGGCGCTTATAATACGGCACACTGCCAGTGCGGCGCCAAAAAGAATTGAGTCCGTCTCGCAAAGGTCCCGGCTGGCTTCCAAATAGGTCACCAGTATTGGGTTCAGAGCCCTCACGACAGCCCGATTCCGCTTGCTTAGGGCTATGCGGGGAAAATCGCGGTCAATTTTCGAGAGGCGTACTGTGCGTTTCCACAATCGCCTCTTCCAATGTACTCCTCATATGCTCTAATTCCAGTTCCTGGCCGACTGTTCCATCATCGTTTGAATCAACCACAACTGGGGTATTCACGGCGGCATTCACGTTTGCGGGTTTCTCTGCAATTTGTGGCGCCGCATCCTCTGCCGTAGCATTTTCATCCGATGAGGGAACAGCCTCACGTCGTAGTCGTTCGAGTTCGGCGACATCAAATATATTTGAGCGCAAGATATACCGAACCCGGTCTGCCAGGTTTTGCTCTGAGATGGTTAAAGATGGCTCCAGCTCTGCAAAAAGACGATGCATCCTAGCCCGATACGCCAAACCTCCAACTTCTCCCCCTTTCGCCCTAAAATACGCCCGCAATGCGTTAGTATTAATTTCGATTGTCCATCGCATGCGGCGTACTCCACCAGTGGCGGGTGCCGATTGCTGGGCCCGCGAAGACCCTGCCGACACCAAGCCAGCTGGTGGGGATGATGGATGCGAGGGGCTGATGGGTGGTCGTGCAGCACCTCTCGCTCGGCTGGCGGTTCGCATGCTGTCGCGTCCAGCGCCAGCTCCAGACGCGGCCTGGCGACCTCCAGGCAGCGGCCCTTTGCGCGTTTTTGCATATTCCATCATCCATAAAAGTGGGAGTTCATTTAACGGGAGACGCCCAGACCCGGCGCCGTTTTATGGTGGGGCCATGTGCACAAGCGGGCCTTTGCGCCTTTAATTTTTGCCGAGGCACGGCACTAACACCTCTTGGCAAGGTGCTGACTGACTGCACTGACGTAGTGGTTTTGTCACATAACCGTTACGTCAGCGGGTGATGGGGTCGTCACTTCCCTCGAACGCCGACCTTCGTCACCGATGACGAGGCAAATCAAAATTTTTTTAATTCAAAAAGTCCTCGATGTCGGCGATGATCTAACCCGGGTTGCTCGAGTACTACTGTGATATTTACAGGAAGCACTTATGTCCTAAGCTACCTAGGCCCTATAAGCTATATAAATGACATAATTATAATTATATGATTAACTCCGTTACAGCCTACTAATGTCCCCTATTGACAATAAACTGCCCCCATAGATTGCCCCATAGGGGAATATTTGCCATAGTTGCCATGCTTGGCAGGCGGGTTGGTAACCACAGGTTTTTTTTATTTTTAGTCTACTCTATTTTAGTAGTAGTGAATGTACCGACAAACTTGCACGGGAGGACTCAAAGAGTACACGATATGGACCTGAGCCATTATGTGGAATCTCAAAACGCCGAGCCCGATTGACCCTTGAAACTCTTTATCACAATAAATCACTTAAGATCAGGTCTGACACACCAGGCTTAAAATATTCTGAAACTTGATCCGGGATTTTTACCGGAAATTCGCTTCAGAAGCCCTGGGATTAAGTAAAAATAAATAGCGTATTCTGGCAGGAGCCCTAACTGTACATTGTTGTCTTAAAAAGCACATGTCCATCCTGGGACTCAGCAATTCAAGGATATGTCGGTTCTGTTCCATAACGGAAGAAACACCTCTGCACATCCTATCTGATTGCGGACCCTTAATGCGCAAACGTAACACTCATCTGGGAAACTATCTACTCCGCACAGAACAAGTGAAATTACTCACGGTTAAGCTACTCCTTCTATTCATTGAAGACTATGTCTTAGCAGTGAACTATAGCCATAGCAGCGATCACAATAGATCTTTAAGGTCGCGGTGATACTGCTCGCTTTCCCTTGACCTGCATTGCTGCTCGCACATAATAAAAAACAGGCGACAGAAGGAAACCATAGATAGACAGCGGCATTTTCCTTATAGCAGCTTAAAACTGCGCTCAAAATTAACAAAAACTGCAAACCAAGCGTAGAAACTATGGCAAATATATATAACAAGTTATTTTAGTAACCGTTAGTTTGCACTGAACGCGATTTTCACAAAAAAAAAACATGTTTTAAGCACTATTTTCTGTCAATGTATCAAAAAGCGTTCACATAGTCAAAGAACATGTAGTAGTGAAATATGTTTGACAGTTTATTATAGATTCCATATTTTAACTACATTATATCTTTATAACTAAAGAAACAAAATGTTTGAAAACAAATTTGTAGCAATATTGTCATGTTAAAGGATAAGTTTGAATATCTGTTGAAAAATTTACACAGTTTTTGTGAGTCCGAACGCCACCATCAACAAAACACGTTGTGTGATTTATTTTATGCGATTTGTTTCATAACATTACGTGTTGGATGTTTCTCAGTGCAAACGTAATGTGATATTGCCTAAAAAATCTTAAAAGTGCATTTAGTTAAGAAAAAACAAACCAACTCTATATTAAGAAGAAATACCATAACAGCGACTCAATACAAACCTTACTTATCTGAACAAACAATTGACAATAACTAATGTGAAGCGAACTCATTATCTCAATTCCCACAAAACTCCGTGTAATTATCGCTTCGGTAATCTTAAACGGAGCAACCCGGCGTAGAGGTGTTAAAAAACCGATTGGGACAAATAAAACGTTGCCCGGGAAAAAATAAAACGCGACGAGCAAAAAGGCAAGCGGGCGACAATCTTACGGGATCTTAATTGGGCTGGACGGTATGCGAGGAATCTGCGCCGCTCCGCACTGTCCGCTCGTTTAGTATTGTCGCTGCTAAGATTAGTCAAAAAGTATCGATATATCAATATTTGCCCGCAAAATTATCGACGGCTACGTGGCGCAGTGGCTAAGGAGTGACTTGCGGTGGTGAGGGCCGCAGGCTTAAATACAGCACGGAACAATTATTTCTATGACCTACAAAATAATTGCTTCGAGTCTGGATGTTTGTCCTTATGTATTTTAAGTTTGTGAGCTGACTCTACGATACGGGAGAAAATCCTAGTATCGATGCCAGTCTTGACGTCGTTTAAAATAAAAAAATATATTGTTGATATTTTTAATCGTGATATGTCGATATTCGATATTTATTTTAGAGTGTCGAATTCGTGTCAGTTTCGATATATTATATATTTTACGTAACTCTGGTTTTGTATTTATTAAAACTAAAGACGTCCACTAGTTTGCGTAGTTCCCGCTTCGAAACGACCACGGAGTAATTTTTGAATTCAATAATTGTTTGAAGTTAGGAGCATAAATAAAAAAATCTTCATGTACATTTTTTTACGAATTTTGAATGTTTTGTAAATATGTATGAATAATCTAGAACACTCGACCAAGATGAGGATATATCGATATCTTTCATTCGTAAATAATCTAGACTGTTTAAAAACATCGATTCGATTAATATCGATATGTGTTTTTCTCTTGCCCATGCCTAGTTGCTGCTATCGTTTCATTTGTTTTGCTCGTTTGGATTTGTTCGTTTCGGACGCGCGGTGATTGTTTTCGGGGCTACCAGGGCAGTTCGTATGTCTCTGTCAATCCGGCGTCCGTCAGTCTGTCCCTTCAGAATTTTACTTTAAAATCACAAAGCAAATTTACGCGCACCGCGTTGCGCTCGTAAAAACGCGTGTTTGTTTCTTTGATTGTTTGAAGAAAAAAGGGTTAAAAAGTTTGAGCGTGCGAAGGGTGTTTGGTTTAGTTCCTACTATGGCAAAAAAAATTGACTGCTAGTAGCGCAAACGCTAAGCGTTTCACTGCTAATTGAATTCGAATTACGGAATAAACGTTTGTAGTGCCTGGAAATAATTTTTCCAGGTTTGGATATTAAAGGAGACAATTTATTTTTGTATGGAGAATGTGCCTACCACAAATTTTAACGACACTTAATGAAATGCATGTTGATTTATTTATTATAACTAAAAACTTATTATAATATAACTATTAATTTATTAATTTATTACCGCATCTAATGGCAATACTGAGAAATTAAAAATTAAAATATGAATATCACATTAACCTGAAAACAAACTAACAGCGATTGTGTAGCCACTCGAATGTCGGGGTCATTTTGGCCAATATGGTGCATCTGTCGAGCACTTTCTATATATATATATATATATTTTTTTTTTTTTTTTTTTATATATATATATATATATATATATGAAACAGATATATATTTTATATATACGTATGTTATATATATCATATATATGTTACATATAGTTTGCTACTACTAGTACTCACCGTTGTTATAATTTAAATTAGTACACTGTTAAATAATTAATAGCATTTTTTCCCATGTTACATTACCGGTTATAACGCAAATATCAAAACTCTTTTTTTTTTTTTTGAAATTTCTTGATTCCGTTTAGATTTTCATAAAAGCTTTAGGGCATCTACTATAATAAATTGCTATGTGATATTTTTTCGTGCACTACAATCAATATTCATTACAATTTCTAGTGGGCCCAAAAACGATTTTCTCCTTTGTCTATGTACAATTTATATATGATACTCGTATCATCCCTTTGACGTTTGGATTAAATGACATTTCATGTTTGGATGTCAAAAGACGATGTGATTCTCGTGTTGTGTGCGTGTGTGTTTACTTGTCTGTCGATTAAATGTTTTTATAGAATAAATATGATAATGATAAGCAAGCACACAGTCCACCTGCTGGTAAGTGCATGCGGTGGCTCGTAGACACCTACATCTATTCCCGATTA